CCTTTGGACTGGCCCCAGGCCGGTCCTGCCACCGCTACCCCTGCCGCCGCCCCCCGCCATGATGATATTGATTATTGTTGTTATAACTTGTTCTTAGGGTTTTCTTGGCAAAATCTCCACAGGGGTATTGCCATGGATTTTCTGGAGCTGAGAGAGTGTGCATGCATATTTTTTAAAAAAATTTAAAAATATTTTTATATTTATTTATTTAATTGTTTAATTATTTATTTTTTGGTGCTTCAGCCCCCCAATTGTCTGAGGGACAGCAACCTGGCCCCCGGCTCAAAAAGGTTGCCTACCCCTGACCTACACAGAGAACTAAATAAATGGGGGAGTGTGTCCCTCTAGGTTCTGTTGGACCTTTCAGTAACTTTTAATACCATTGATCTTCTGGATTGCCTCTCTGGGATGAGGCTCAGGAACATTGTTTTACAGTGATTCTACAGTGGCATCTCCGCACTGGGTGTCACCTGGTGTGGGCGGTGTGGGCTTCTGGGGAGTGGTGCTTTGGGGGCCTGAGTGCTCCCCCCATGCTGCCCTGATGGATGGCATGAGGATGGGGAGAGGCACCTAGGACAGCATGGGGACAGGAAGCATACACAGTGACAAGGAGAGGTGCATTGGATGGCACAGGGACAGGGAAATTATGCAGGAATGGGAAGAGGCGCATGGGGACGGGGAGTGGCACTTGGGGATGGTGTGGAGATGGAGATTGTACATGGGGGACAGTGCAAGGGGAAGAGGGAGTGCCGTGTGATGGGGCACTCAGTGTGAAGCCAGCATGGGGGCAGAGTTGGGGCAGCTGACATGCAGTCACCACACCCCCAGTCTGCCCCCAGGCTGGCTCTTTATGCTGGTCTGTACAACCCCTCAGACTGTTTTAGATGGGGTTACACTTCCCCTGAAATCTCAGGTTTTCAGCTTGGGTGTATTCCAAATTTGGATCTGAGCCTGGAGGCGCAGTGTAAACTAGTGCATCAGCTGTGCCCAATCCTTGAGAAGTTAGGTCTGGCTACAGTGAAATGTGCCTTGATTACATCCCATCCGGACTATTGCAACATGTTCCACGTGGGGCTGCCTTTGGAAACTGTTCAGAAAAATCAGTGTGTCCAAAATGCTGTGGCCAGGCTGTTGACCAGAGCTGGCTACAGGGATCATGTGACTTCCCTGTAGAAACAATTCCATTTCTAGGCAGAATTCAAAGTGCTGGTTTTGACCATTAAAACCATACAAAACTTAAGTCCCAACTATCTGAAAAACCATACCTCCTTATACAAGTCAGTACAAGATTTTCACGGAGGGTTTTATCTCCATCTCAGCACCTTCCCATGCATGTTTGGTGAGGACTCAAGAGAGAGCCTTCTTTGTGGTTGCTCCCAGACTGTGGAGCTCCCTTCCTTGGGAGGCCTGGTTGGCCCCCTCTCTGCTTTCTTTTACTAGCAGGTGAAGAAGTTTTTATTCAGGCAAGCCTTTCAATGCAATAGTATTGAGCGTGGTAGTAAGTGTGTAAAGTGGTGCGTTATACTTTTAATCTTTTACTGTTTCAGTAATTTTACAAAAATAATATTGTCACTGAATTATTTTTATTTTTTTTAATATAAATTAATATTTTAGCTTATTCTTTTCTAAATTATTATAAGCTGCCTTGAATCTCATCTTGGGAGAAATGTGAAATATAAATGCAAATAAATAAATAAATAATATATTTAATCACTTTAAAACTTGTGTGTATGTTATGAATTTTTCACTGTATGTTGTTTTTGTCTGCAGTAAGCCGCCTGCCAAGGGATGTGGTGGTTCAGCAGTTAAGACGCTGACTCTGACGATTGCAAGATCAACAGGTTGGCAGTTCGAGGCTCAGGCACCACTTGACAGAGTGAGGGCCTTTGCAGACTTCCAGAAATAGTGCACATTAAATTGAGGCACTGCCCTGGCTCAGTGCTAGGGAGTCATGGGAACTGTAATTTTTCTGAGACATTGAGCCTTCTCTGCCAGAGAGCTCTGGTGCCACAATAAATTACAGTTCCCATGATTCCCTAGCACTGAGCCAGGGCAGTGCCTCAATTTAATGTGCACTATTTCTGGCAGTCTGCAAAGGCCCTGAGCTTCCATCACTAGTCCCATCTTCTGCCAATCTAGCAGTTCAAAAGTATCTAAAAGTGCAAGCAGATAAGTACCGTATTTTCCGGTGTATAAGACTACTTTCTAAGCAGGAAAAGCT